TTTTTGCGTGTTGAGGTATCGCCACTTGCAAGTGACAGCTTGAATCCTCCCAGGCTGCTGCGTGTGAATAACGTGATAGAAATCTGCATTCTCTCCAGCTCATAAATGCTTTTCCACATGGATTAACTCAGTTCGCTGGAATCGAGGGTGCTACCTTGGAGACTAGGAGCAACTTCATTTTGCAAGGCCAGGATCCCAGTAGATACGTCGGGAGAGTAGCGTCTAAGGGAAATCGAGATTAGCAGTCACGGCGCTTGTCATTTTTGGTCCTAGTTGTCAGGTGCTTTGGGCGCTTCCCTGTTCCTCGCAGACGCCATCCTCAGCATTCGTCATGAACATAGCGAAAGTCTCTTCAGAACTTCCAGCCATATCCAACGGAAAATGAACCTTATTTGAAGTAGGTATTTCAGAGTCTTCTCTAGAACCGCCCTAATGGACTGGTAAAGATACAACGTCCTACGACCGTCCCGCATGAATCCCTTTACCGATGGGAACGAGTTGCGTCGCACGGCATGCAGAGTGATGAGATGCTACCGTGGTCAAAATCAGATGAAGAGAGCGGTGGATCTGATAAGACTCACCTGATATCCAACAGCTTGGTACCTCCAAAAGATGGACTCGGCAGACGTCGTAGTGGAATCTACGGCAGAATCGTCCCATGTGATCACCCCCTTCCTGTGGATGGCTTTGCCTAAGAGTAATGATTAGTAGGTCGAACATACTGTCTGAAAGAAAAACTCACGTTTGCTGATATCGTATCCCCTAGTACGGATACCAGTACTTTATCTGCTTGCAAGGTGAACGAGTCTTGCAAATCAAGGTATGTCGTGTTTCGCGAAATGGTCTGTACAGCTGGTGTGTATGATACCGTCTCATCGAACCCTCGAACCTTGCCAGCATTTATTCCTTCCTGCCTCTTTGATATGTTAACGATGGAAACCCCAGTCTCCGATTCTTCATTCAGATTCACTAGTTGTATTGCCGGCTGGCGGTATCTCGGAAGAAGGGACGGGCGGACATTCGGTCTTCTCATCGGAGCACATAGATCCAGAAAATGAGAAGAGAGAATACGTCCGAAAGAAGCCATATCTCAATGTTCAGAGGCTAGGAACATCCAAATCTCGGACCATCGACGAAGTTGCCACAAATCAATAGTAGGTTCGCCAACGACGGCAATCTTGATATAGCCATCGGAAGCTCTCGTATTCTATGGGACATTTTTGGAAACGCTCTAGATGCAGCGTGGTGATGGCCTGTGGCGATGGTAGGAGATGAAGGACGGACGAATGGTGCAAAATATGCTCGAGAGCTTCGATGATCCTTCTGTGAGGATGCTCCTCCGCAAAGCTCGTTGCACGATGAAACATCGGAGTAACGGATGATAAAGACGTGTTCAAAGTTGGGGGAAAAGGAAATATCGAAGGAGAGTGTGCTGCCGCCAGTCAGAATAACTGTCGACGTGGACGGAGAGTACCCGTCAGTGGGAGAAAGAGTACATCGTGAGTTCGAGGAGCAGAGTTGAGTCAGATTCAACGTTGGGAAGGGCCAACTGTGAGTCGAGCATGAGTGGTACGTTGACCAATGCAGGGTGGCTGTACAACATTTGGAATTATAGCCTTGATGTGCAGCCATAATTTTGGAAACGTCACGAGCACTACCTGTCCTGTTATATTGGCGGTATGCGTCGAGCATCGATAACAGTTTTAAGGCGACGGGATGCCAGAGCGATGTCATAACAAGCGACGTTGGGTTGTCTTGCTTTGACCACCACTATGCAAGCTGGAATTTCCGTCTTTCTTCCACCTTTTCCAGTTGTTTGGATGCCCTTCCTGGTCGAGACGGTCCCGTTGCAAGAGTAGGTTCCCGGCGATCCCAGAAAATAGACCGACTTTTATCCCCGTCTTTCCACAGCTTTTCGACACGCAAATGCACCGTTCCTCTCTCCGAGCAAACATTTTGTGACGCCAGGTCGGTTCGGTGCCAAGTCATAACAGGACTTTTCTCCAAAATGCCACCATTGTTTAAGGGAAGGAAACGGGCATTAAATCTCATTGGCTGAGGAGGTGTCGTAGTCCTTGTCGAGGAACACATGGTGGCGGAGAGGATCCGTAGATAACGGCGATGCAACTTCTTGGAAAACGTCTAACGTTAGATATTTTAAACGCCTTCATTGACAGCCTGATCCACCCACCAAAAATCGCTTGACAGCGTTGAGGTTAACGTTGGCCTGGTAAAACACCGACATCGAGCGCCTCAAGCCTCGCCTTGAACAGTGACACGTAGGGCGAATCTGGTTCTTTGGGAGCGGAGAGTGAAGGTTGGATAGTATGATGGCTGCACGGTGGAGGAAGACGTAGATGTGATGGACTGGGTGCCGACGAAGTCTTGTAGTGCGGTGATGCTGCACGCGCTGAAGATGACATCTATGTGCCGTGCTATTGTGACTGAGGTTGCATCTGCAACCTTATCAATCTCAGCGAGCTGGTGTGGCCGGTATAGATGGTCTACTGTCGATTACCGAGCTCGCACGTCAAGCTTCAAGGTTGTAGACTCGTATCCCTGCAGCTCTGCTAGAAATTAGCTCCGCAGCACACCGCCTGCTATGCTTGATAGCATACAGTGCTTTGGATTTACCGGACGTCGATACGCGGATGGGACGCTACCGGGGTGAAAATTCGATGAAGGTAGCGGTAGGTTCAACAATAATCATACCTGATATCCAATATATTAACAGACGTCGGTCGAGCGCACTGTTCCTCTCATACCTCCTCAAGTCCCGCATTACTTCACTCAGGCTAATCTCTGCCTTCACCGCACACTCCCGAAACCCACGCCATATCCATGACCACTAAGGAGTAGGTCTCCAAGAGGCCAGTTCTTAAAACTTCTTGTCAAAGGGCATTCTCTCTGTGTTTGTTGCTTTTGTAGCGTCAATAGATACGTAGAGATAATAAAAAGAATCAGGGGTGAGAAGACAGCATGGAACGTGGTGGGGAGGAAACGATCAAGCCCGGCGTGTCTATTTGGCTGGGCCGGGCCAAGACGTTTGATTTTGGTGACGTCACACTTCTTGGGTTCATTCCCGACAATTACACGGAATTTACGACTCACGGCGAGCGATTTTTCTTCTCATCTAATAAAATTCTGACCTTTCCCTAGCTTAATGCCACACGCTCGAGACCAAGGCCAATTTCCCCCGATGGATGCATACTGAAACAAAGTAGACGTCGACTTTGTATGCAGAAGATTGGACTCTGGAGACGAAGATGAGAACTGTGCTCATAGTGCGAGTTCCTTCAGTTCGTGTCTTCTACATCATTCTCCCTCTCACGCTGAGGTACGTGTTTGGTACTAAAACGGTGGATGTTTATTCATGTAACGAGAACTCTTTCAAGGAAGCTGCTACGGATCTTGACGACTGGCACGAAAGGAAGGAATATGTCAAAAATATGACAAGAGTGCACTCGGAAAAGTAAGTCTACCTTCTCTCACCCACGTTCAGCTGTACACTCTTGCTGTAGCCGGATCTTATTCGCCCACGACTGTCACTTCCACTGAAGGGTACGCACCGCGCTCTGACACACGTATGAAACACCCTTCGACCGCTGTGGGACGATTTTGAATACAGGCAGGATATCAATGTTTGCCGAGACACGTTTTGAGTGACGGGGCATCTGTTTGTTTGAACTCAGAGAGTTGGACGACGAAGAGGACAGGGACAGCGGCAGATTTGGCAAAGAGCGCTAGTTTTTGGTGACGAATTTTCACAATCCAAGGTCGACCCAGGCATCATCTACCCACAACAGATTGTTGAGTTGAATGTACAGAAGACGCGGCCGTCGAGGCTGACACAACAGACAACATCGATGAAAAGAATCCAGCAGAGCTGGCCGAATCATGGATGTCCTGCAAACAATGGGTCGAGAGATGACGAAACGCGTCCTCACATGTCACATTGTAGTATAGCGCGGGTTTTAGCAATCGACGAACCTTTATATCTACCAGTGACTACGTGAGCCTGTGCACCCTCTCAGGTAGGTATATAACCACTTGATTCAAGAAGAGCTAGTACAATGTGTATCACTCAAACTAGAATATTCCGACACTCTTTAGTAATATGCAGACCTTCTAAACTCCTCCACTCTTCAATTGTCATTTCAAACACTGACACTTTCTCAAATCTCTCTCCGGACAGTCTTCGCCCGACAACCCAATATTTAATTTGGGGGACCTGCCCAAACTTACCTCCATCAGCGCAAATCAGTGTGTATGTGTCTTCAGGTATTGGGTACGTGTGGGTGGCCATGACGTTGAATCGATGTTCCATCCCATTGTTGCCTTTAACAATCAACTCTCCCCATCGATGTCCCCCTTCCACAACAGCCAACCCCCGCACCAGCCCCTTTTCAATGCAGTGCGTGTTACATGAGTCTTCATCTACCTCCTCATCCTGATCAATGCCGATATCGGGGTTGTAAGGATGTGCGGGCACATGCTTCGTCATAACCTGGTCCCACGATGGTCTCCATTTTCTGCTTGCATTGCCCGGTTCAGGGTACAAGACGAACATCCTTCCCCGACGTTTCGCATTCATTGAAGTCACGAGTGCTGTCCATGCTTCCTCGAGAGACGCACTCTCATAGTATGCCGGTATCCTCTTGCACAGCAGACGAAATGCCAGTCCCGCAACTTTGTCCACGGGGTTGGTCGACACCCGATTCTGCATGTCCCCCAGTGCATCAAACTCATATTTCATCAAAGTGCGATCCATAGACTGCAGCTGCTTGTGAAACCTGGTCAGTAGCTCAGTCTCATACTTCCCGTCCTTATCTTCAGCATACATTGGTCCATCTGGCGTGTCCCCAGCAAACACCCTGCTCTCGCCAACCTCCTGTAGTGTCCAAGCACGTCTAAACCAAGACCGATCACTAGTCTGGCCGGGGTCCGGTTCAGGACCTCGTGGACCGGGTCCGAACCTGAACCGGACCTGCAGGTTCAGGTTCGGTCCAGGTCCAGGTCCGGCATAGCCACCTACACAGGTGGTGCATTTGTCGAACCCCGGGCTAGCCAGGGCGTGGATAGAACGAAGTGACCCGCCGGTCGTCCGCCGGGTGGAAATCAGCCTAACACCCGCAGTCTATATAGGAGGCGACTGGCCAGCGGGTTAACAGATATGGCCCTGGACTGAACGGGCTGGGATAATCTGTGTTCAATTATGGCCAATCTGAGATTTCTTTTCCGGTACCATCCGGTATTCCGCCTTCTTCCGTTCCTCTGCATATCACGCTGTATCATTGCAAAAACAGGCTTTTCATTGTATACTACACACAATACATGTATCAGCACAGAAAGACACCTCCGTACCTGCGCCACGCTCCATCTTTGCCTTTCACCATTTTGACATGTACGAAACATTCTATAGAACAAAACTGGAAAAATAAAGTTAGATATGGAATTTGCGACTCAGCGAACATACCTTGCGGGTGAATGTGAGACTCCATGAAAACGGCATGGATTTGATGCACCTATAACATTGTCGGGTTCATGATCAATGCAGTCAGATGATAACATACCAGGAGTACATAAAGAGAGCGTCACAATGATTAATCACACCAAGGAACCAAGCACAGACACAGAGACCAAAGCTAAGAGAGATTTCCCCACAGATAGAACAGATACCAGTCACAGCAACAGTACAAGCGAAGAACCAAAGGAGGAGAATACATGGCGAGGCATACAAGCACATACAAGCTCGGCGCTCCCTTCCAAGGACAGGTGACAAACCCATCTCAATGATGTCCCGGAGAATTTGCTTCTTTCCCCAATGGAACCATAGGACATCACATAAAACAAATAAGACATACGTCTAACACCAATACTGGTGAGACGGCATGGTGGGGAGAGCAGAAGTTCAACATTGGCTAAACAAGTACAAACATAGCTTGCTAATCTAAGTTAGGGGTCTGACGTGTGGGCTCGATGCACAGACACCATACCACAAAATAAATGGAGGTATCAATTAAGAAGATCCATAAGTCTTGTGCCAGTAGACGAAGTTGGATGAGGATGACTATCACCGTCCTTTTCACTGGTTACCTGAGGGATAGGCAGAAACTGGAACCGAGACTCGTCATATGCCAGTGTCTGGTCTATGTATCTAAAAAGGCTGTAAATACCAGGATGGTTTTCAAGGTAGGTGAGCTTACGGTTTCCAGTTCTCTGAGAGCAAGCTGCTGGACTTGTACAACTCAATTTTCTCTCGCAAAAACTCATCAATCTTGCTCCAGAAATCACTGCCTTTGGGGCTGTGACCAGTGGTTAACTTGCGTTTCTTGCTGAGTGGTTGGATGGGATTCGGCTGGCTATTCTCTGCATCTACGCTCGCTTTGTCTGTCACCCAAACAAGGTGCGGATTCTCTGCAACAAATCGGCACTGGAAATACTTACTGAGTGAGAGTTATAACAGATGCAAATTCCACATACAAATACACTGTTTCGTGCTGTTGTCAGGTGGTGGTTCATACCAGACCCAGACTGTCGGTATTTCTTGTTCATATCATGAGTGAAATCAGCCAGATTTTTTGTGAGGCTGTCACGGAACTGAAGTGCAATTAGTACAGACCAAAGGCATAGGGTGAGTAGACATACATCTTCTCGCATCCTGTTTCTTACACTTGATGATATGACATGGATCTCACTATGGAGAAGATGCTCTCAGGATGGGATCGCAAAGACATTCTTGAAACCCAAGGTGTCTTTCTCCTTTTGTAAATGTCTCTAAGACATATATTAAGCACGAATAATGATAGCCGATTACAACTTACAAAGACTTCATCCTCTATATCATGATAGGCCATTCGTTGGGGGTCATAAATGATGTCATGGACCATGAAGCAAATGTTGTCCTACAAGATAATGAGATGCGAAGAGAAGCACAACATGATCACATACCTTCTGAGCCTTTGTGAAGTCAAAGCCTTTCACCAGTTGACTCTTAAGGTCTTCAAGCAGGCTACTCATTGTTTCGGCATTTTGATCACCCACAAAACGTGTATTATGGAGGTTGAACTGGACAGCAAGAGAAAATAAGCGTGTCAGGGTGTCAGGCATGGAGAGGCCGCCCTGCAGAGATGCGAGCTGTGAATGATGACAGCCTTTAGTGACTGTCTCCAATACAAACAGAGAACAAACTGTACCTCTGTAAATAGATACAGGTGCCGCCGCTGTGGCTCAGATAGCTCAAAGTCCTTGGTGAGGCGGTCTATGACTAGAGGCTTGACCTTCACTGGAAAAGGATGATCAGTGATGGTGGGATTGTTGTTCAAAGGCACAGTGGCTGAGTCCATGAGAATGGGCTGACTGGACGGAAAGGCTGGTACTGATTGAGACAGCAGTGATGGCGACCGGTCTGAAAAGAAAGGAGTTGCTGGATGAGATGGCCGGTGAGGTGTTTGGTAGTCGGAGACCCGGCTTGGAATGTATGGTGAGGAGTCCAACGATGCATTCCATTCCGGAAAGTCATTCACAGAAGAGTACGAGGGAGTGTGTGGGACATGGGAGTGCAGGTCACTGTTGGCCATTAGTGCTGCAAACCCCTGTGGGGGTCTTTATATACTCTCCCAGATGCGTTCCATCACGTGTGGGACCAAACGCGTTGACCATGAATCAACAGAAAGGAAAAAGATTCAACAAAAGCGCCCTATAAATTGAGCCCTTCAACCGCTGTGACAGTGACAGACCCCCATGTCCTCTAGCTCCTATATGCCGTCGTCTGATGCTTCTCATGAGTCTCACACTCCAGCTTCACAATGGTGGGTCACAACTCATGAAATATTGAGTCCAAGGCTGATGGATAGCTATCTTGATCTAGTTTTGGACATAGTACACCATCTCGCTTTCACAAGAGGGCTGAGCATCGGCAAGCCTATCTGAACTCTATTTCAAGCAGAACAATTCAACAGTGAGTTCTCAGCTGCACCTCAGAGATATAGACATTGATGTATCCAAGGTTTTATGAACACAGTGGAGCATTAGACTCACAAACTACCGAGTCACAATGGGAAAATAAAGTCTATGATACGCATCGCAGTAAGCTTGTGTAATCCTGCTGGTTCTATTCTCACCAGCTTACTGTGATGATGTAGCACCACCCAGGACTGCGACAGGTATGTTACTTCGACAGGTGCAGAATATCGAACTGCCGTCTCTCTGCGAGAGCGAGAGTGAGAAGGCATCATGCAAAACAGGAAAGACGGTTAGACATGAGGACGTGTTTCAGGTTCTCCATGAAGGCGATATAACTTTGGTTGAGCCTACCGATGGTGGAGGAGGTGAGCTAGTCTTCCAATGGTTTGCGTATTGGCTGGTGACTTACGTTGTGACATAGAATTGGGGAAAGTTACCTCTTGGTTGAAAGCAACAGCAGCCGATGATGACGAACATGACATTCCTATTGCTTCCAGTCCTCTGCAAATGCCCATGCTGAGCATGATGTCCAATTTAGAAGATTACAATGGTACGCACTTGCACCTCTCAATTCTGCACTCGTCTGATTGATGATATGTCTTGATCAATTACAGCGGCCATAGGCTACACTGGAGGTGCACAGCTGCCATTGGGTGCATCCGATGGACCTGATATTCCAGCATCAGTACATGACACCAATGGACCTGATATTCTGGCATCAGTATGCAATGCCAGTCCCGCACACCCGGATGAATGGACACGGGCTCTGCAGCCAGGAGAGATCCAGATCCTTTTGGCCGTGCACTCACTTGTAGAGGAAGAGACAGAGGCCATATGAGAACGGGCCAATAACGCGCTGGAAGGACACTGGGGAGAACTGACTGGTCTCTTTGATACAGTTCACCACCAGGATGAGTACATTAAAGTCCTCATTGATCTGCTTCAAAAATATAAGATAAATGTACCAGACATGTAATTGAACAGGTGTACTTCACATGTCTTAGATGCTCGACTACCACTTTGATGCCAATGTGAACGAGGTGCAGCGTTTTATTGGCGTTTTTGATTCCGCGGGTTCAAAATGGTAAGAGGCATTTGCCAAACATGTACAAGCTCTCTTCCCAAACCTTTTCAGGTCAGTGAGAATCAAGTATATTGAATGTAATAACAATGTACACCACTGAAGAGGCTGGCTGTGGGCACCTGTGGAATAGTGAGCGGGCTAAAAGGCGAACCTCAAAAACCCACACACACACTCACACAACTACACAAACTACAATCACCCTCGTAAGTTCTAGGGGGAGTGATTATTTCTAATGCGATCCAACTATACTTCAATATCTTGAAGAGTTTCTCTTATTCTCAGCGCTCTTAGTGAAGCTAAGCTTTCTCTAATGAATTCCTAAGTCTAGGAACTTTTTACAGGAAGGTTGTTCACTGGCGCGACGCAACCTTCAAGGCAGATTTGAGTTATAATACACAAGGGACACTGATCCCGACAGAAACAGAGGCAATACATGCCGAAACTTTAGTGAGCTCGCTAAAAGAACACCACAGGCAAGCACTGACTTAGCCTGCTCGCTACACAACTGTATGTAGGGGTTCTCCAACTAACTCCAGCAGGTTATCTCGACTCAAGAACACTTCAGAAGTGCTCGGAAAACAGATTCAGAAACGGAACTTCGAACAGAACTGACACGGAACAGACTGAAACAGAACAGAACAGAACAGAACAGAACAGGACAGATCTCAGATTTCCACTTCAACACATTCTCTGAACAGACTTATCACACTTAACAGAACAGAAACAGCGTCACTGATTCGTATTCACTCTGACTAAGTTCTCAAAAGTCTTATCAAAAGGGTATCTCGTATTTCTCTGAGTGAGCTCGCTAATTCTATGCACAGCTCAAAGTCACAAACTGATCCTTTGTTACAGTACTGCCTTCAACGCGTGCACGGGAACTCGGGGGCTCGAAACTTGGCCTCTACCTACTGTAACCAGTCTACTTATACTACAGGGGAATTAGAATTACAAACGTCGCGCAGTACCCAGACTCCTACATGCGTAGCATGTTGCCACCGCCACCTTACTGAGCATCCGAGTCAGACTTCCCAGTTTTAGTCTCATTTCTATAGTGAGCTTGCTAAACGTGTGCCAAGAGGTGCTCTCCCGACACCCGCGGGCTCGTTCTCTAGCGACCGACAGGTCTAGGCACACGGAACTATCAGTTCTGGCGTATGTCGTTCAGGACTTCTTTCTTGGATTCACAGAGGCTTCTCGTAGACACGGCAACAAGTGAGTCTTCGAACAATGGGACTCAGAACAATGGAACGTGGGCTCGCAGACTTCGGCCGAAGCCCATTGCCCAAGCTTGTGCCGGTGATATCTGTCAGCTCGCTTAAGGATTTCCCCGGATTTTCAGGTACGGCGCGTCACAGTTAGCGAGCGCGCTAAGTGTTCTCAGTGCCAGTGCAATCTTCAAGGTTTTATCTAGCTCCCGCGAGTGTGCTTGTAAGTTAGAGCCTAAGGCATTGGGTATAGGGTTTGGCCTTCTCATCATGCATGCCCGTCAGGTACAGTGCTGTGACTAAGTCCTGTTTAGAATCCCGTTGCTTCTTATGCCATAAGTTATATTCCATATCATTGCACTGCGTAGCATTAGTGTCGACGCGTAGTTTTAGTCCGCTCGCTCACTATTTCTCAGTATGCGTGTAAAACACTCTAGATTGCAAAATTACACGCGTAAATAGGCTGCAGTCGCAACACTGCTGCTAACTGCAAATAATTCTAGTTAAGATTAGTCTTCCCAGGTTGGTGGATTGTGAGGATCCCAATTGGGGAGAGACTCGTATGGGTTTTCAGCCAATGGCCCGCTTGGATGCACCGGGTGAGATAAAGTAACTGGAGAATGTACAGAATGCTGCCAATACATATGACGGGGATCACCGGGGTAGTACTCTGATGTTTGCTGTTGCTGCGACTCCAATGACCGGTATCCAGCAGGCGCATGTTGACCTACGAAGAGAGAAGAAGGCAAGGGATGGACAGGTGAGAGCGGAGAGCGCACTGAGAATGCACTGGACTGAATCTGAGTATGACTACCAACGTTTCCATGGCTGTCATGAGATCTAAAGGTAGATGTCCAGGGTATGCGACTCATATGGCTGGTATTCGGGGTGGAAAATGACTGTCTCGGTTGATCGGCACTAAAGAGCACTTGATGTCGAGATTCGGGAACACCAGGAACACTGGGATGAGATATAGATATTACTGGATGTGTGTATGTCCTAGTGGGAGGCAGAACTAAAACACCAAGCTGAGGTTGAGTCGATGAAGTGGCCCGCATTAACGGAGTTGTGCTCGAGGGCGTGGAGATGTGTGTGGTGACTGACAGACAGCTGGCCGGCCTCCCAGTTGGTCGTGGCAGTGGAACTGTAGTGGAACAGGGTGATGTTGACAGTGACGGAGCTCGGGAGGCCCGTTGGTTGTGATTCTGCAAGGCGATCTCTTTTTGTACGCTTGCCAGAATGACCTCTGTTGCATCCATCAGGTAGAAGGGACTTGAAAAGGTTGAATGTGTTTAGCGCTACGCATCTGTGCTGTATTCAGGACCATCTGATCTGGGTTTCGTTGGTGAACAATCCTTTCACGTAGTTCCGAAGTCATCTCCCCTTCTTGTAGAAGCGGGACCACCTTCTCCGCCTCACAATGATTCTGGATGCAGTCATGCTGTACATTGACTGTACACAGTATGTCCTGCGATAATAAATTTAGTCCATGATGCTGCATAGAAATATAACAATGCTACTGACCGCAAGTCAAACCACTGAATAAGTGTTGGTTCTTGAAATCCGAGGCATGCTGTATGCACTTGCTGGGCCCAACGACACTGCCTTCACGAGTATGTAATCTACATGATCACCAAAAAGAACACACCGCTGTAAGATCTCTTCGACAGTCGCAATATAGTTACCCGCAGCCCCTCAAACCACAACATGACCACCCAGTCTGCAATGGTCATGACTCAGCAAATAGACATCCTTCCCTGTTTTACAGAACGGGTTGAGTGCAGTTCTGTTTGCACTGCCGAACAGGGAAGGTGCATGCGAGCCAGTCTTGGTCTCAGCAAACGGACGTGCAGGTTGGCCATCACTTGTGTACGTTCCTAAATGTTATAGTATCAGTTTCACAATGTCATCTATATAAAGGAATGGCCCTCATACCCCATTTGTTGCCATCTTTCTTCTTATCCATGAGCCCGAGATAGTCTGTCGCTGCACTCAGGGTTGCAACGATTGCCAGTGCAGACTTACCCAATGTTACCCACATGTGTTTGTCTTTGGAAAACTGCGCTCGAAATGTAGCACTCGCTGTGGCTCTGGCAACATCCTTCTTGTGAGGTGTCAATGCATGTGTCACATCAACATGATCTCGCAGGAGAAAAAGACCACGACTGAACAGATGTCGAACACGATTGCACTGTGCAAAGGCGCGTGCAATATCACGTGAAGGGGCGTGTCGATTGGAGTGAACACTTTTGGATCAAATGACTGCATTGAAAGACTCGAATGCCTCAGTAGCAAAAAGCATGGCTGGCCCAAAGCGGCGTATATGTGCAGGCAGATGAACTAGAATATGGAATTTTGGTTTGTTGAACCAGTGGCAAGTCCATCGAGCCACACAAAGAAGAAAATAGTCGATTTCTTTTTGTAATAAGTCCTGGCCGTTAAGATAACTTATAAGTAGCGAACAAGGCGAGCGACCCTTCACTCACAATATATGCTTCGAGATTCTCAATTTCTGGTTGCCAGATCAAGGGTACAAGCTTTGAAAGAGCAAGCCATGTCTGGTAACAGTCATCCTCAACAAAGTCATTCAATATGAATGGTGCAATCTGGGCGATCGCACGAAAGTCGCGACCCGTGAGAGAGCCACAATAAGTCACCAGAGTGTGACCAGCTAGAGGCGGCAAACCCATTCCTTCCACATTGACGGAGGCCAAGCGAACCATGAGCTGATGCTTTTTTTCCTCATTTTTGTGGAGTTGGTTATGAACCACATCCCGCCACATATACTTGACGAAACCAAGCAGAACCACATGAAGGATTTCAACTGGAGTATCAGAATGTGGATCCAAGCCTGGTAAGAACACCATCAACAGCCTGCCAAATACATCTGCAAGACAGAACTTACCCTTGATCCGCCAGACAGGACTCAACATCTCCTCACGCATCTCCTCGATAGCCTTGTCAAGGGCCTCTTGCCTCTGGTTGCCTCGTTTTCGTTTGTAAGAATTAATGAGTTTGTCCATGAAGAAGGAGGCAAACGTATCCTTCAGGCCGGAGTCGGTTCGCATTGTTTTGATCTTGTTGCCATTCCCAAGGATTTTGGCCTCCGCAAACTGTGTTTTGAGCTTCTCCATGCTTTCGGCCTTGGTTCGCAGGGTGTTGACCTGCAGTGGGCCATCAGTTGGAGGGTGTTTACAGCCACGGAATGAGAACCGCACAAACCTTTATGAAGTCCATGACATGGCATTTCATTGCATCAAACGTCTCGAAAATTTTCCTTCATCCTTTGCTATTCGTTCCCAGGGCAGCATTGCCATCATCAGACCCATTGTTGTCAGCTACGTGCTCATCATCCGAGCCACTGTCCACATCCCCATCATGCAATACATCATCCGGGATATTCGCAGTGTACCCAGATGGCCGACTCTCATTTGCATCTTTGCCCTTAACGCCGCAAATACGACAGAAAAACTTTCCCCGAAGACCAATATGACAGGCGAACTCGCTTTGCATTGGGTTGTCTCCTAGCATGGCGAGGACCATTGGTATAATGAGGACAGGCTCATTGAGGTGACAGTCCCATGCCCATATGCCATGCTCCTGTCCGTCTCTAAAAGTTTTCATGAGAATTGAGTATCCAGGTGGCAATAAGAAAAAGGACTGACTCGAGTTGTTCGACAATGCCATCCAGCATCTCCAGAGGCAGTGCAATGTTGGATGTACACAGAAAATGCACGTTGTAGTCCTTCTGAGATTCCGACCGAGGCAGGCCCGCTGGCGTAAAAAGGAAACTATTATGCTTGTTCCATTTCTTTGATACATTGCCCGACGTATCATCGCAGTACAGCCAAATGGGAAAGGTCAGTACCCGACAACCCTCCGCTCGTTCATGCCATCTGTTCCCTTTGACCGGGTCAGTGAGAGTCCAAACAGTTAAAATTTCGGGCCTCTGCACATCTTCACAAACGCCTGACAGTGACTCCATCAGTAAAAGTACCCTTGGGAGACATCTATACTTACCCACAATAGCTGACAGACAAGGTAAATCGTAGACTCTCTCAGCATCAATGCAAAGCTCAGGGAAATTTTTGAGAAGGTCGTCTTCGCAAACTTCATATCCAGTAACCTTGACCACATGCCAAGCACTGTGGTGCTCGCCAATGCAGGTTTGCATGTGCCAGCAGCATGCATAGTGCTTGCGCCCACGCCTGAACCAGCGGTATGGCATACAAACAGTTCCATCATGAAGCATGGCTGGTTCATGGATATAATAATTGTCACCCTTCCGAGTGCAGAACATGGGCGTGAGCTGATCATCGGGTGCCTCGTTCAGCCAGCGTGAAGCCTGGCGAGCCTCTGAGAGATGCTCACCAGCATCCTCGGGATAGAACTCAAGAAGCCGTCGCACCTCGGGATTGGCCATTTCCTGGATAGATCGATGAATACTTGTCTAGGTCTAAATAGGAGAATAATGAAAAGCTCACCTGCGCGATCATTTGCGAGAGACTGTTAAGATAATATTTGTGTCCAAGTGCACCCTCATACTGTAGGCTCTCTATTCCACATAACTTTTGAAGGGCCTCGTTCAACTTTTTCATGGACGCGACGGACAGCAGATCATCGACTTTGTTTGCTTCTAGGAGCCACAGAAAGAGATCGAGTTGATGCTGAGAGAATGCCGATTGGGGTAGATGCATGAAGATGTCTAAAGTACATGACTATCAGAGGATTCCCGGTTCAGCACACTGTGATAACAAAAGAATGGAAGCTGGTATACGCACGATCCTATCTGGCCAGGGGAACCAATCATTATTGCTATCAAATATGTCTTGCGCTCTTGTATGGCGACGCTTGCACGTATGTTCAAGGACTTCTGTAAAGTCAAAGCGACTTGTAGTTGTACACCAGGGAGGCATATCGCCAGGGAAGCTTACCTTGATCCTCAAGCTCGACAGTACCATCTACGTCAGAATGCTCGTCAGCCTCATCATCTGAGGGTATGCTATCGGGTCCTTGTTCCATTAAATCCACGATAGCCTGCGCGATCAAACTGACACCGGTTCGTTGAGGCAATTCTATGGTAGCCTCTCCCGAGGCTTCAACACCTTGCCAGTATTTATTGAGATAGTCGGCAATTAGTTCTGGAGTTGTATCTGGGAGAGAGAGCATTTCAGGACAATCCTCAGGCGGCAGGAAGGAATAGAGAAGGTTGGTGCCAGCAACATCGAAAGGGGTACGTATGGGGACCGTGGGACCAGTCGGTTCTGATCCATGCTGCAGTGAATCGGTACTGTGGAAGGCAGCGGCAAGAAGTGAGGGTGTCGATGATGCAGAACTTTGGTGCTGCTAGGCTAGGAGTCTCTGGTGATGGTTAGACTGTTCATGTGGCCTCACATTTCTGATGTCTCTTCCTAGGGAATCATGGCAAACCTGGCAGAAAGCTTTTTCATTTCCAGCGGGATCTACGACAACATGCCAGACTATTGAGAGGAGACTGAGGAGGGCTACGTGGCAAGAAAAGGGAGTAAAAGTACCGTCAGTGTTCAACGCGGATGCAGCGCGGCTTAATGACATAATGATCAGCTTCTTTGAGGGACTGGATCCTGGACTGTAAGCGCCATTGTGAACTTAGTCTATGCTGAAAGGTGGACAGAGGATAAATTTTTGGATATTTAACCAGCGGTAATGCACATCTGCCAACCCCTGTATAACTACTCCTATGTGGCCGCGTTCCATAAAAAATTAGACTAGTTTTGATTTTCGGCGGAGCCCCGGCCGCAATTGCCAGAGCTACCCACAGTCTATCTGAGGCTCCAGCTGTGTAGGTCCAGGTTCGGGGTTCGACTGAGGTGAAAATTAGGGATGTGCACTGTACTGTTACGGATACGACCATAGCAATACGGCCGTAGACCGTATAAAAATTATTGGCCACGGTACGGTACGGTTGATGTCATATCCGTACCGTGTCCGTACCGTTGTCCGTATATGGACACTTTGACGACGACGATGGATATCTGGTGCCAAAGTGTGAGTACTACATGCTTCTTTTAGGTCATAGGTACTGGCCTTTATGGAATAAGATAGTTCTCTGTTCCTCCCTCAATGACCGTATTCAAACCGTATGAATACGGCCGTATTTTGGGTCGTTAAAGTCGTCCACGGTACGGACCCGTATCCGTATACACCGTACGTAACCACTGTACTACAGATACGGTGCACATCCTTAGTGAAAATTGCGGACCAGGTTCAGACCCAGTCTGAACCTGCTGGACCTCGAACTATTTTCACCGCTGAAAATGGTCCTATCTGCTATGACGTGTGACTATCTCGCTGTCCCAGGATCATCTACATCATCAGAGCATGCTTTCTCACATGCAGGTCACACTGATTCTGACCCTCGTCGATGAAACCTTGATGCAGAGAAGTTTGGTACCATGCAACACTTGAAGAAGGCTTATCACGATGGTCACATGACTCCCCAGAATGAAGCTTAGATGGATATTGGGCCTTGATTTGATGATGAGGACTTGGATATTTAGCTAGTTGACAAGTTCTACTTGTATCTACTATCATCCCTTCTATACTCATTGTATACAGCAAAAATTTTGCTGAACCCGGTCCGAACCCGAACCGGACCTGAACCGGACCTCTTGGACCTGAACCTCAGGTCCAGGTTCGAGGTTCGAGGGAGTGGAGAGTGAACCTCGAGGTTCGGGTTCGAGGTTCAGGCAAATGTGCCTGAACCCGGACCAAACCGGACCCCAGCCAGACTACCGATCACTCTCCAAGTCGCCTTCCTTCAAACTCAAAGGCCGACCCAACCCACTCAAGTAAATCACCACATGAGCCCAAGCATACACATTTCCGATGGTGGGCACATCCAGCTTCCATTCTTCCATCCGCATATCCTCCCTCTGCCCACCCTTCTGTCTCAAACAGAGAACGTCCAACCACGCATACTCCACTCCAGGACTGATATTGAGCATCTCAATGCGGACAAGGTTGAGACTGGTGTCTTTCGGGATGGGAACGGGCCATTCGTATCTGTTGATGGGTGTTCCCACATCGACATGATCCTTCTCATCCATCCAAGCATGTGACATTGGCAAAAGACTCCACCTCGAGCTCAGGATTCCTGTCCAGTACCATGGCACCACCCAATTGCTGTACAGATCCCACACACGTCGAGGTTGTGGCTGATATGGACGGACAATCTGATTACCAACGAGTGCTTTTTGGCACCTCTCCCGGTGCTCCTCTTCCCATTTGCGCAATCTGTCTCGTATAGTACTCCAGTTGCCGGTGTACCATATCCGGCGGAGGCGGCTATATGCTGTGCCAAAGTCCCAGTTCTCTGCGATGCATTCTTCAAGAAGAGAGGAGAGGGATGGCATGTCAAGGCTGTGTGATGTTCCGAGTGTTGTGTTAAGTTGATCCAAGAGGCCCCGAATGCCGAGGGTAGCACAGGGAGTGTCAGCAAGGCGGGATGATATCACAGGCTTCCTATTGGTGTATGCCTGTTGCTTTGGAATGATAATCGACGATTCGGGTTGGCCTGTCTCAGTGAAGGCAGAGATGGTTACTTCGGGAAGAGAGATTTCCTGGGAATGGTATCAATTTCCCCTCTGCTTGTTTGCCGATTAACTTACCTTCAGTCGACGGTAAGGTCTATGGTCATCAGGCTCAGCAAATCTATCCCAAGATTCTGGAGCATCACTAGATGGTTGTTCTTCCATGGGACTAGTCTGTGAACCCACATCGGAGGTTGATTCTGGATGTGCTGAGCACAGTGACAAGTGTGGTGTCACCTCCGAGACAGGACCAACATCTTCTGGAATAGAACTACTGTGCTTGTGTGGTATCATCTCAGGTGGTACGATTGTGTTGTAATTCTCGTCAAGTTCAGGTCTTTCGCCAGGAGACGAATCCTTACTTGTCTGGGAAGTCAAGGAGATCATGGTGGTGGTGGTGTTACCAGCGTCAAGTCCCAACTTGAACAAGGAACAGCTGGGTTCACAGCCCTGACATCGCGAACCATTCATATGGAACGTGTGTGTTCCCAAATCAACATCACACCGCCGAAAAGCCGTTAAACCTTGGACGGTCCTTGTACTGAGCGCTCAGAACAAGAGGATTAATGATACATATATCTCCCATTTTCCAGGCTCAGAAGGGCACACGGGTCGAAGGAGTGTTAAAAGAAAAGCGGTTTTGCCATTAAGCAATCAGGTGCCGCAAGTCACAGCTTGAATTCAGCTCTGGACTGATGCGAGATCTTTGTTTGAACAAGATAGTACACGTCCTCGTCCTCTCGAGCTCATAAAGGCTGCACCACAAGGCACGTCTTCTTTTGAGAACCTTGGCTTGGAGATTGAGAATAGGTTTTTCAGGGCAAGGACTGGTGGAACGGGACTCAGAGCGTGAGAACATCTGGGTATTAATATGACTATCTTACGTCCTTCAGTTTGATGATACTATTCTGTTAACCATACCATAGCTTTACTCTCCTTTCCTTGACGTTGACCGGATATCCGAGGGTCTCTATCTCAGAGTTGTGTTCCTACGCTTCATAACATCCAACATGTCCATCGATGTCTTTCCCATGACAGTCCATCCACTTTCGCAACCGTCAATCAATCCCGGCACTTCCCTCCCCTCCCATGACTAGACTGATATCACCCATCACTGAATAATACCGCGTCAAAAACGATTTCACCATTAGTGATCCTTGACCAGACTCGCTGTATCAATTGGGTAGCCGTGATCAAGGCGTTCGCAGGGAACATTTTAGAGAGGATTCGGAGCCCAGGCTCCAGTTGTAGCGCCCTCGAAAGAGACTTCCAAAGAGTTACACCCAGTCCTTTCTCAGTACAACTGCGGTGCCATTTTCCAGTTCTTACTGCAGACCAGTCTGCACTCCCTCCCAGGGACCAAGAACCATATGGTGCACCTACTTCATTGACTAGTCACATTAATACACAAGTTATGTCATCCGAGAAACCCCCAAGGATGAAAACGAAAGCAGAAAACCGTCAATGGGAGATAGAAGAGGTCATTGGACCTTTAACCGATGAGCAGTTCTCTCGGCTCGTTAGTCTATCAATGAAGAGTACCGACTATAGTGGCGGAGGACAAAGCAAGGCGATGTTCGATTCCAATATGGAACAGAAAGATGTGGAGATTGACGACAAGGTCGGTGTTGCTGTAATTTTCGATGAGGAGGAACGAGAGGATGAGGACGAAGATGAGTTCGAAATCAGAGGTGAATCAGACGATGACGGCGAAGAAGAGGGACGCCGAGGCTGCACCTGAGGACAGCAGCGAGGTTGGGGAAGAAACACTTGTCGTTGATGGCGATTCCTCAAAATCCGCACAAGTCAAGGCCGACGAAGATATCGTCTCCCCACATTCCATTGACGGTCTCTGGGTACAGAGCCAGATCGCTGAGGTATACCCTGACCCACGATAAACTCTCCTTGGTTCTTGCAATTCTCAGCTCCAAGTTCGACCGTTGTGGCTGGACTAGATTCTTCGCGAACTAGTGGGAGAGTGTTCAATGAAGGCACACCCATTCACCATTCCCAAGCTTCACGACACTCAGAGCAAGCTTTACCCCATTGCGTTTGGCAACGAACCCATCCTTCTTTGTGTAGCTACTGGCGCTGAAAAGGTGTGTTTGTTAAGTTGCCACAGCATC